GTTGTCGCTGTAGTTGATGGGAACCAGACCAGCGTATTTGGGCAGTTTGCCAATGTACCCTCGATGGGGGGGAGAAATCAAGCGGCCGTGGGCGTCGGCAAAGTCGACGACGGACGAGATGGCCAAGGCCGTCAAGAGAACGGAGGTACTGGACTTCATGGGAGGTGTTCCGTTGGAAATTGACAAGTGAGAAAGAAGAGTGTTCAAAAGGATTTGTCATAATTGACGGCAGAGGGTGGTCGAAGGTGACAACCATGTGGTGATCTGGATCCTACAGGATGTGATATGGCGTGCTCTTGACTACTCCGGAGTACTACAGTATACCCCTGGCTAAGAACAATTCCCTCGCTGCAACAGTAGTACTGTTGTTCCGTAATCATTTTTATCAAGAGCCACTGTATCCCCGGAACCCCTGGACCCCTTGCGCTTACATACAATGCTATTCCCGGGGTTAAGCTGCATCACCAGTGTTTAGCTAGCGCTAACCACTGAGATGCACTTAACCCCTAGCTGAAATGAGTTGTTTTGATTTTACACTTGATTGGACTATGTGCCATAAATAACTTGGGTTTTGTATTCGAGGAGACCCGAATATTACGTAACAACAGCACTGCTGTTGCAGCGCTGCTAACGTTACGTAACGTTAGTACAGTTAATATATGTACCACTCCGTGCTTATAGTGTACAGTGGGTGGCAAAAGTGGCAAAAGTCTTCGTACACATCGCAAAATAATTGTATTTTTAGCGTATTTTCTCAAGTATGCACTTTTACGCTTATCAGAAAGGTGCGTTTAATTCCTCACCATTTGGGCATTCAGAATATGTCTCAATATTTGAAAAGGTACTCAGATTTAGAAACAAAAACTATTTTGACCCGTGGCAAATGTCTTCATACCCAACATAAAAAACTCAATTATTCCCATTTAATGACTTTCTAGTACTTCATAGCGTCTCCTTTGTTCGTAAAGACCATACCGAGCCGATTAGGCATTGAATCAATGAGTCCCTGAATGAAAGTAACTGGGATATTATCCCAGATTCGAATCAAGCGGCGCTTCAATTGTTCGAGCGATGAAGGAGGCGATTGACGCACTCTACGCTTCATGTACTCCTATACATCCTCAATGAGGTTCAAGTCGGGACTTTGGGGCGGATGATTAAGCATATAAAATGCATTTTCATAAAAAAACTCATGCACGATCTTGGTTTTATTGACTTGTAGAAAGTCAAAGTCGATCGTAAGCGCCAATTTCGCAACATTCCCAGGCCAATTCGACTCTACCACGTCCAACTAGTCTGTCGACTTCTTTTTTCCCTCGCAAAACACAACTGTACCGGTCCCATTGCACCCGATAGCCCCCCACACCATGAACATTTGGCAGCCACTCTTAAACGTCGGAGCGAGGCAGTCGTCAAGGAACTCCTCACCAGGTTTCCGCCATGCATACACCTGCCCATTGGAACCCGACAAGTTGAAGGGACTTTCGTCCGTCCAAAGCACCTTCTTCCGGTCTTCCACGGTTCGAAGTTGGTGCTTTTGGGCCTCTTTAACTCGTGGCGTCGGTTCGAAATTTTTGTATCATATGTTTTGTTTTACTGTTTTCACGCTCAGTTATCATTCGTTTGTGCCCAAAGAGCCCATTAATTGACCGCTCCTACGACGACCTAACCCCTTTGCACCCATTTTGGGCTGTTTTCATTGGCTATAATTCATTTTTCTCAGATTTTGAGAGCAATACAAACTCCAAGTTAAGGTACTTGGTCGTTGAACAGGCCTCGTCTGGGAGCGGCACGGCCTACGGCCTACCTGCCGCTTTTCCCGACGAGAGGAAAAGATAGGAAGTCCCCGTGGGGCACGATGGCGTCGCGCCACAGCGCTCGCTTTGGTGCGAGTCGCTTTACACTCTATCTACGCTACGCTACGTATAAGTCTATCTACGCTACGCTATAGAAGTCCTGGTTAATGGGGAAAAAGTGGGCAAAAAACTGGGGTTGAACTGGTGACCTTTCGGACCCCATGTTCAAACCGCTAGACCACGGTGGCTGGTTCTTTTGGAATTGCTGTTAAGCTTAGTGTATACAAAAAGAATCTGAGCACAATGAATTATATCCAATCAGCAGCGACCACACCCATTACTACCATTACTACAGGGTTAGGTCGTCGTAGGAGCGGTCAATTAATGAGCCCTTGTGCCCAATCAGCAGTAACCTATAGATAGAGCAGATGTTAATCTGTATGGCAATGTATTTACCTTGTCGAACCTGTCAATATGTCATAAATTAAAGTCAAATGATGAAAAATGTCATGTGGTGTACGAAGACTTTTGCCACCCACTGTACATTTAACGTTATCGTCTATTATTAATATTTAACGTTATCGTCTATTATTAATACATGAACTCTAGTACTAGTACTACGTAGTACTACTAGTACATATGTACGTTTTAACAGGTAGTACTTCGAAGTACTATTAATAGTATTAACGTGAGAAATCTATGATTAGCCAAATTTAGGCAAATTTCCCTTGACGATACATATCTCGTTCAGGATTTGACGTCCTGAGCGTGAGAGTTGCATCTCCAAATTCGTGGTTTCAGGCGTGTTAAGTACATCGGTTCGTTACTATTAACTGTAGTGCTTACATACATTGGCTAGCATAACCATGTTATTTACCGCTGCGAATTATGAGCCAGTGCAATGTCAAAGTGCATGTAATGGCTAGTTCTTGTTTCATAGTGCATGCTTTCGGCGGCATTGGGACAGTAGCGTAATCTCCGCATTCTGACCACGCTAGTCCATAGATCACAGGTCGAGGGGCTGCAGTGAAGTTCTGGTAAGTGAGCAAGTGCGTGGTAGTGAGGAATTTCGTTGAATGGTGGAGTGTTTTTGGTCGTAAAACTGGTGACTCTGTGTACTACAGTATTAAGAGCCTGTTCCACGTAGATTTCGAAAATCGCGGGTGACAAAATAATGTACTTCTTCCCATTTTGTTGCCATTCTACGGCCATGATTGGTTGGACATAAACCGTGACCTGAAAATGCTAAGTGATTGGCCAACATAAAATTGCACCCAAGGGCTTTCTGTGGCCCCTGTGGCCAAAGTCCAAGCGGAGGTCCGTGTCATTGCGCTTAACGGCCAACGGGGTCAACCGTCAGATCTCTAGTCACTACTTCTTCAGCAACGCCAGTCGCCCACACTAGGAGCTGGTGACTACGCTGCCGCACTGTGGTTTTCTGTTTTCATGGCGACACTCAACTTCGGAGACTTGTTGAGGGCTAGGATCAGTACATAATTGGCTGGTGATGCGATAATTTCAGCCAGTAGTTTATCGCGGTGATGGGTTGTCCAAAAAAGGGATGAAAGGGGTCATTTTGAAAAGCGGATTGTGGAATGAGCTGTTGCCTACTTCGAAATTTACTTGGAACAGGCTCGAAGAGTACATGTACAACTATGTAGTACAACAGTAGTAATACATGTTCTACTCGCAAGCGCCGGCCAGCCACCGTTTTGAAAACGTAGAGCTTTTACATCAACCGTAACATTTTGGGATGTAACGATAGGGTGTCTTTCATACAGCGCATGGACTTACTACGGAATGGACAATGGACTTACACTCCATACCCAATGTCTGGCAACATGGAGCGAATGCAATGGGTTCACCTCTTGCGGGTTGCTGCAAAACGAACATACTGTATCATTCGTCTGGTACTACTACGTAGTAGTACATTACTGATCAAGTTAAACCACTTGTTACTGTGCAGTACAGTGCTACAGAAGTCCTACATTACTGTAATGTACTGAACTCATTCGAAGTGGACAGTACCTATTTACTACTAACGTTAACGTTAATAGTCCTCGTAGTATATATTAAGTACTGTAGTACATGCAACGAAAAGTACTACTACCGTAGTACTGCATTAATACTGTAGTATTCCTCGTCCGCACTGCTATTAATAGTAACGTTACTACTAGTACGAACTAGTAGTAGAACTCACCTTCAATTGCGAACGTACCTCGATTCTGAAACTGTGCCCATACCTCCACCTCACCTCTTATTTGGATAATACTAGTAGTACTTCAGTATATCATAAGTACTCAGCGGGGGTAGGGCTGTGGGACTGTAGTAAAGTGTTCAAGTACTGTATCCGGATTGTATAATTCCCTCATTAACGGTGAAATGAACCAGTATGTCGGGTCAAAACAACAGAAAAACTGTTTTAATTGGGGAATTGCTTTATGTACAACCAAGGAATAATCACGATTTGCATGCATGCTGTCGACATGTTTCTCAACAGTGCGATGTAACGTTAGCTATCGGGAGCACGTGCTATCGGTAGGGAAAGACTAGAACAAGCAAGTTGATCTGCTGGTGCGGTCCTGTCTGTAGCCACGAGTTGGGGAGGCAGACATACCAAGTAACTTAACAGTATTTACTTCAACCAACAATTCCTTCCCAATCAATAAACTACACTACCGGTACTGATATCACCCCCAGATTGCTATCAGTTCAAGAGTCTCCACATGGTGCGATGTCACATAACATGCAAAGTAGAACATCACATGATGGTCACCTTTCTCCCTCAAACCCTCCACCCTCCTCTTTCTCACTTGTCAATTTCCAACGCAACACCTCCCATGAAGTCCAGTACCTCCGTTCTCTTGACGGCCTTGGCCATCTCGTCCGTCGTCGACTTTGCCGACGCCCACGGCCGCTTGATTTCTCCCCCCCATCGAGGGTACATTGGCAAACTGCCCAAATTTGCTGACCTGGTTCCCGTCAACTACGACGACAACGGCCTCAGTGCCGGTGGTATCGGCGGCACCAAGGGGGGAAAACACGGAGTCTGCGGGGACCCGTACTCGGGTGTGCGCCAGCACGAAACCGGTGGCACCTACGGTCTGTTCCCCGTTCACGGCAGCAAGGTCGTGGGCGCTTGCTACGCGCCAGGCTCGACCGTGGACCTCCAAGTCCAATTGACGGCCAACCATCAGGGGTACTTTCAATTTGGTTTGTGCAAACTGAACGGCAAACACGACAAAGAAACTAACGAGTGCTTTCAAACGCTGGTCCAACCCAATGGCGACAAGCAATGGCAAGTGCCCCCAGGCAACGAAGTGTTTACGATCCAGTCGGTGCTCCCTGCTGGAGTGACCTGCGAAGGTGACTCCCACTGCGTGCTTCGTTGGCACTATGTCGGGTGGAACAACCCCGGCGTGGACATCAACGGCCAAGAGCAGTTTTGGAACTGCGCCGATGTGTACATCAGCAACACATGCGGGTCCAACCCGGCTCCGTCCAGCGCCACCCCTTCCACGTCTCCGCGGACAACCTCGGCGGTGCCCACTTCTACTAAAGCCCCTTCCACTCCCCCTTCGACAACGGTGACGGCGGTGCCCACTTCTACTAAAGCTCCTTCCACGACCCCCCAGACGACGGTGGCGGCGCCTACTTCCTCACCGAAACCTACGCAGAAGCCCACTCAGTCTCCCAGCACAACTACACCCACATATGCGACATTGCCCCCTAAAACCACGCAGCCCAGCTACCCCACTCAACCGCCCAAAACGATAGCCAGCCCCACACAAGCTCCCAGCCAGTGCGGTCAGTGCGCCAACTGTTACTATCCCCTCAGTGGCGCGTGTTTCGTCGGGTGGACTGCCGCCCAATGCGCCTCGATACCTCAGCTCAAGTGGTGCGGATTGTCGGCATAGAAGTTGCAATCTTGAGGGTCTACGCAAGCGTCACCGGTGTTTGATTTTCCTTCATAGCCAATGTGGTGGTCAACACTACTCGTGCCATGAAGTGTCAAGACGAAGCCCTAGTACTTCTCCGAATGCGTGGCCAAATGGGCTTTGTAGAAGGATAGTAGTCGACAGTTGTGCGTAACCTGCCATGAAACTGTTGAATATTGAAATGACGGAAGCCAGTCCAACAAACTTATGGTCCAAACAGTATTGGTAGCGGGCATCGCGATTTTGGTCATCGGTGTTGATTAGCTGCTTATTTACTGTTAAGCGTAACGTTAGTACTACTTAGAGCATCTGCACCGGTACCAGTAAATTTGATCCCATTACCCGGATAACTTGTTCGGATAAGCGAGTTACTGGCGCCATTAAGGGCAAAGTTTACTGGCCTCGTTATGATTTCGCACCGAAGTCAGTAACTTTAAAACAGATTGCACTTGCTTCGTGATGGATTCGGCTGCATGGGACTCTCCAGTGAATGTAGAGACCATCACCAGTTCTATAGTACAGTGTTGGAAATGTTACCGTTGCCCTCATGTAGCAAATCAACTTGTCATTCACTATACCGGTACCTCTATGTGCAGTCGGGACTACTGTTATACGCTGCAGTACTCGGGCTTAGAAATGACTTGCAGTTTGCTCTTTTCCGACGATTAGATCGAGCGAGGCACTCAGCCATGCGTGACACAGCTGCCCCTGCTCATGTGGGGTGAAGTTTCGGGAGCGTACCTTCGTTGCCTGTTTTGCTTATATGTATGTATGTATAGTGCCGTTTATTCGCGTACATCAGCTAACAAAGAAATCCTTTGCGTATACAGCTAGAGGACTTCGCATACCGGTACGTCGAACATAAGACGTCTGATTGCTGGGGAATGGTGGGGCATGCGGTGACGATCTGCTCGGTCAGGAAGCCGCGGACAAAATCCTTCCATCGGATCTTGTCCGCGGCGGTGGAGCGGGGTCGGTGAGGCGCTGGAGCGGGGTCGGTGAGGCGCTGGAGCCGGGGACGGTCGTGAGGTCAGCGTTGAGGACGCGAGGCAGCGACGTGATGGGGCACCTAGGCCAATGCTAATCAACGGAAAAGATGAAGGACCGGGACATGGACTTGTAGGCCGCTGGGGTCTCCTTGGCCACATCTTATGGGGTTGACGGGACAAGCGCAACTAGGGCGGGTTTGTCAAGAAGGTCCCACGTCCACGGAACCAATGCAACGATGGAAACCGTTAACGCCGCTCAGGCATGAAGCTGCTTGTTGACTTCATGCGACTTTTCATCGAAGTTGGATACAGCCAAGATGAGCACAAGGATGAATACCGCGACGAAGTGCTCAAGCCAGGGAAGTGTGCATACGTGAAGTTGCGATTATATCTTAAAGAAAAAGGAATCAAAGCTGAGGGCACTTGAAGAAACTGCGTGAGCTGCACTGTGCTGGGCACTTGGATGTACACATTCACGCTTTGACGTGCTGTTACGTGCCCGGCTAGTCGAAGACCCATCGTTTTTGTCGTCGGTTAACCAGCTACGATCATTGTAGTTGAACGCGTCAATTTGATAAGTTCAAATTAATAATACTTACAATTTGTAATATGTTTGCACTGAGCGCTTGGGTCCACAAAGTGCAGCCTAGTTATATAGTAGTTACCTGTTGTGAAGATAAGAAGATGAGTGTACCTGATGGGTTGCTGGTTTGAATGTTCAAGTACCATGCGGAACCACCGCAGGATTTTCGCCACCATAGGTGGGGGGACTTACATATCAGATCATTCTATTCGAGCTCCCTTGGCGAGTAATAGTAGAAGTTGTTTTTGAACCCGCAGTAAGGATGGTTAATCAGTGCGCGCAACACAACACCGGGGCCTCCCCACAGTTGTCTATCGCGGTGCCTTGATCAGGACCGATGGTCGGCTCTAATCAAGCTAGACATGTTAGTATATTTCAATAAATCATATGAGAATGTAAAATTGTCGTACCGTAGCATCGTAGTTCGCCATCCCTAAAACAATACTGCTCCCGCGGTCGCCACCGCCGCGTCCATGCTGCCACTGCTACTGCCACGACCATGCTGGCACTTGCGCCGCAGCCGCCGCCATGCTCATCCTGGCGCTGCCTGCAACACTATCCCACGCACCACAGCTAAAATTGAGACATGTGCGATATCCAGTTAATTTCTCAAATCCGATCCTTCTAGATATTCTCACCTTGAAGTAGATGGCAGGTGTTGTTGATATGTAAGTTTCACTATATGTAGAAGCAAGGTAAAAAACGATTCAGCAGAGAATAGAATGCACGAAGTTCCATGAATTGAAATATGCATTTAACTGTAAGGTTCGGTCACCGCCTTTATAGCTGTTCTCCTAGTAATGGGCATGAACGCCCGTCGAGGTTGCACTGGTGGTTTATGCTTCTGTGTGTACGATATCACAACCGCTGTTGCAAGTGCAGCGTTATTCCAACTCATTATTATAGCTACCATGTACTTCTTCATATTGTACGGTGTTGACAAACACCGTGTTTTTATATAACGATGGCTGTTACCGTTGATACTGGTTGATGTTTATAGGGCTGGCGTTGGTGTTAGATGTTAAGGGATGTCACGGGCGAAGTAGTTTTGTCGCCGACCTTCTATCACTGTCCGGATCGCCGCGGGTGGAGTGTCCGTCCTAAACATGTTAGTAGTAGTGATAGCTTTCGTTGCGTAGGATGGTGTTAAAAAACACTGGTACTTTGGATGACCACAGCTGACATGTGAGTAGATGACGAGGTACTTTTCGATATTGCCGAATGATGTAGCAACATACCTTAAGTCGCTGTCACCGCAGTTGTCATCGTCGCTGTTGTCGTCGTCGCCACAGGTCCCTAAACATGTTAGATGCGATTCAATTCCTCGTATTGGATGGTGTTAATGAACACCGAGGAAGTGTCGGCTACGAGTGAAATTGGGAAATGACTGCAGAAAGACACTTTCATCCGCATAAATTTACCGTACGAGTATTCGGTTGGCTGCTGTGTTAAACCTAACCCGTGTTGTGATGGATTCAATTTTCATTCTTCTATTTGCATTGTTCGACGAACTTCGATTTTGTTCGACCGCACACACTAACTTCGATTATCCTGTTCTCGGCCCACAGGCCATTTGAGCCAAATCTAAATCGCCTAACGAAATGACGTGTAGAATATAATCGAATTTCGTAGCAGAAGTTGACTTGCGACATCCGGAGTACTTCAGTCAAAATAGAATTAAATTCTCTTGTCTCAATATAGTTTATATACAAGTAATGTTTTGGAATAGAATATCGCTTTTTATAATGTCATATGTTTTTTGATGTTGCAGTACAGAGTAGTTTACCGGTAGCCCTTGCGAGCGTGAAGGATGAAGTAGTGCTTGAACTACTTAGTAATCATTAACGCTTTACCTATTTGAGCATGACCACTTGGTTACTACGTTTGTACTAGTAAGAATTAGCGGTTGTCGTTGATGTGCTGTCTCTAGTTACGCTGTACCCAACTTGAAGTATCCTATCATTGTTCTTTTAATTACGTGAAGCAAGCTTGGAATTTGTATGTAGCAATTGTATTAATTCCTCAAATATTTCTCTGTCCGAAGCTCAGTCCGAATCACCATGATGAACTCTGAATGGTTAATAATCAGAAGTAATATGCCAATCAAGTGCTTGGTTCCCAGGAGGCGGCGCTCCCCCATTTGGTTGCTTGTGTTGGCGCAGTGCGGGAAACAACGCAAGGTTAACTTTAGTTCCAGTTACCTACAACTCCGAGACTAAGAGCAATTACGCGCAGACGAATCACGCCCCCGAAAGACAAGCGAACAGCGCCTGCAAACGCTCCGAGCGCCTGAAGCAGACCGTGGTGGCCGATCAGGAAGGAGCAGAAACCCAGGAAGAAGTGCTAACAGCGGAGCTGGCGATGGACCGACCGACATGGTGCGACACCATGAACGGCAATTGGCGGCGAGGGAAGACCGAAGGGGAGTCAAGCAGGCGAAACCTTGTCGACCTGACGCGCACACCCGACAGTTCCTACGATGATGAAAGAGAAGACGAACGTCGGAATCTCGATGCGAAACCGAAGAACAAGAAACTCGACTACATGGCCCAGGCCAAGAGGAGCATGCACACCGACTGACAGCTGCTTTTGACTCACCTGTGCGGCAGCCAGTGTCGCAACAATGAACAACGCGACCGCGCAACTCAGGATAGACCCCGGTGAGTGGTCCACACCAGGGTGGACGTTCACCGAAATACATCGAGTAACCTCCTATCTCTACTGTTGACCGTGACTCCCTGGTGCTATGGAAGGCAAGCGTGACCTGTAAGAAGAAAAACTCAAGGCGAACGCGCAGAGACTGCGACATGACTGGCGGGCCACAGCTGACTCCTGGCTTGAGTCAGCCGACGGCAGCATGGCTGAATCTGTGTGACTATACCTGTGGGACACCAACATCGATGAGCTGGATGAAGGCGTATATCTGCAAGATCCTTGACGAGCCGGCAAACAAGTCGACCGTCACCGAGGCCGAAATGGAGGAACAATGCAAGAAATTGCGTGAGGACCCCTTTGGCGATGTGGCAAGTCGCCTGGTGTCATTCATGGAGGGAGTGAAGAACATCATTGCACGACGGGATGGAAGTCTCAGCTCAAGGTCCCAAATATTCCCAAGACCTTTATTAACGACGGGATGAAAGTCGCAGCTCAAGGCCCCAAATATTCTCAAGACCTTTATTAAGGTGGTGGCGTCGTGCAACACACTATTCGACGTACGCGACAGAATCGCGGAACAGTAGAAGACAGACGGTCCAAGGCAGCACCTTGGTAGAATTTTCCAAGATCCTGGCGGAAAGTTGTTGATTTTGTTGCTTGTGGTGATCTTGCCCGTGTTTGCGTCAGTGGAGCTGCAACTCCACTAACGTAACGTTTCTGCTTCCAGGTGTGCTCTGTTGCAAAATGGTGCCTGATCAGGGAGCGCAGAAGGCCATAAGCATACCAGCGATTTCTCGCGGCAGCAGATCCAGCTGTGCAGCGCAGCAAGCATTGACCACATCCCCTCCTTTGCAGCAGGTATTGACCACACACCCTCCATTGCGACTATAATGCGCACTTCACCTCTACAGACACGACCAACAACCAAGCCGAGTACGATAGCCTGATACGAAGCCATCAGATCTCAAGATGGCCAAGACCCGCGGCAACACATATGGGGATAGCCAACTGCTCGTGGGTCAAATACAGGGTGTCTACAGTTCGAGCCACCCCAGTATCCGCGCCCAGTACCTCCAGGCCCGACGCCTGGCGCCCACCATGCACTCTACAGGGCGCCACCGATCTCGGGAGGGAAATTAAGCAGCTTACCCCGCTCTATGACTTCTTGGACTTAGGTGAATCAGAACCCTGGATGTATTCAAGAGAAGGCGTATGTATTACAACGTTATTGAAGGTTTTGGAGCATTCAAGACACTCCACATGAACAAGTCAGTAAGCTCATGGGTAGATGTAGTAGACAACGTACGAACAAAGTGTTGACATCGGAAGCCGATGATCATTTGCTAGCACTAACCACTCCAAACTCACTTTTAGATTTGCCTTTTTGGCCTCAGTCGCTTGCACACATATGCCGTTGTCTTCCTCGCCGCCAGACTAAACACAGGTCTGTTCACGATATGGTAGAGCAAGTTGGAGTTCGTCAAAGGCGGCAGATAAAGTGTAGACCTGGGGCGGAGACAATTGGTCGGTGGTAGGCGGTAGAGATGTTGAAGGGAGCGGAGGAAAAATGGTTGGATCGAGGCGAGTAGAGAGAGGCGGTAGAGGTTCATGAGGTGTAATGGATGGAATGTCGGATGCATCACGGGCGCGAAGGCGAAATGCTGCTGCAGCTTGGATGTTTTTGATGGGTGGGAATTCATCTTCGTGGAAAACAACATCACGGGAGTAAAGTAGTTGGTGGGAGTAGGCGTTGAGTAGTTTGTAACCCTTGCGATCATCGGGTAGGCCCACGAACATGCACTTGATGGCGCGTGCATCGAGTTTGTTCGTTTGGTTAGCCTTTTGGATATGAACGAAGGCGGTGCAGCCGAAGGTGCGGATGTAGGCGAGGGGTGGATGCCGGGAGAAGACTCGATGGTAAGGCGATTGACCGTCGTTCGAGGTGGAAGGCGAGATGTTATAGAGCCAGGCGGAGTAGATAACGGCTTCGGCCCACAGAAACTTGGGGAGATTGCCGGCCAGTAAAAGCGCTCGCATCTTCATAACGAGTAAGCCAATGCGGCGTTCGGCCACGGCGTTTTGGGCAGGCGAGTAGGCGTTTGAAAATGTGGTCTTGGTGGAGTACATCGGGCCGATGATACGACCGAGTTTCTCGAATTCCTTGGCATTGTCGGCTTGTAGATTGCCGATGTCGGTAGGCGGTAGGTATTGGAGAGTGTTGATGTCAGACTTGAAAGTTGTGATGGCTTGGAGGCGAAAGAGTTCGTAGGCGTCATAAAGGTCCTTGCGGAAGGCGAGTAGGTAGACCCAGGTAAAACGGGAGTAGTCGTCGATAAACACGACGAAGTAGAAGCTGCCACCAATCGACGGCACAGGGCACGGCCCCCAAATGTCGGTGTGAACGAGAAGGAGGAAGGAGGAGGCGCGAAAGACGGCTGCGGAGGAAAATTGTTGTCGACGGGACTTGGCAAATTCGCAAGTATCGCAGGTGAAGGATTTGAAAAGGTGTGGGCGATCGGTAGAGAAGTCGGGGTGGGTCTTGACGAGGCTTTGGAGAACGGTGGAGCTTGGGTGGCCAAGGCGGTTGTGCCAAAGGCGGAAGAGGGCTGCGTTAGATAGGCGTGTGGTTGAGGTGGTTGCAGTAGTCAGTGCAAGGGAAGGCGTCGTAGGTGTTGAAGTTGTAGGGGGAGGCGAAGATAGAAGAGGTTTGTTGGTAGATGGAGGGATGGGAGTGGACTGGATCGGAGTGATAACGTTGGAAGTGTGGGACAAGGCGTGTACTGGAGAAAATTTCGAAGTGCCGGATAAACAGGAAATAAGGGACGAGGCGTTGGGACGAGGCGCTGGGGTTGGGGGAGAGAGTGTGGTGGTAGGCGGTAATGAGAAATGTACAGCCTTGCTTGATGGAGACTTGAAGATAGTGTGTTTAGGCGAACGTCCAAAGTAAATAATATAGATGTGCAATTGATCGATTACTTCGGAGCGCACCGCGGCTTGTACAGTAGATTCAAGCGTAGAGATGGAGAACGGAGTAGGCGTGGCGAAGTTGATATGGTATGGATTTGTATCACCAAGGGAAGGGTGAGCAGCTAGGGTAGCCTGAAATTCCATGATGGCAGCTGCAACGGTAGCAGGAGGTGAGGCGGAGGATTGCTGGCTAGGCGTGTGTAAGGCTACGCCGGAAAGGAGTAGAGTCCCAAGGCGTTAACTTGAGCACGCAAATAAAGTCCACGACCGATGTCCATGAGGCAGTGTGATGGGTGCGAGAAATCAAAGTGGCAGCCAGCTTGCACACAGTGACGGACGGAGAGAAGGTTGAATTGTAAGGCGGGGCAATGTAGGGCAAAGGGTAGAGAAAGAGGCTCATGATGAGCGGTGAGAGTGGCCGAGGTGTCGCCAGAGTGGGTGGTAACGCCGAGATCGATCGGCCCGTAGCCGAGAACAGGAAGTTTGCCACCATCGCCCACAGCAAGGGTGAATGATTTGTTAACA